ATGCAAGAATTTTAAATGCATGGTTGTTATACGTTACATTAAAACAATTACTTTTTATAAATTTGAAATGAATTTTCTCGACTTTTAATAATACTAACCTAATTAACAACTAAAAGTTAAAATACTAAATAAATCTAAAATAAATCTAAAAACTAAAAATCTAAAATACTAAATATATCTAAAAAAATTAAATAAACTTAAAAACTTAAAAAACTAAATAAATCTAAAACTAAAAAAAATTGTTCGAATTATGCGACGTTTGGTTCGATCGATCGACTAAAGGACCACTCGAATCCTCGGAATGGAGAAGACCGCGGGCGTGCTTCAAGAATTGCGAAACGAGGTCGAAAATAGGCTTTTAGGTCCTACCCCTTCGAATCGAATCGAGTATTCGCTGAAAATGACACGTTTTAGCTTACATTTCCCGTCGAATGATAGGGTATAGCGTGGGCGCCCTTATTGGGAAATTAATTCGCCTCACTGTTTCGATCCACTCGTGTTATTATTTCCTTTCCGGATCGGCATTCTTTACAGCACCCGTCCTCCTTCCCCCTCTTCTTTCGTCACCCGCCAATTTGACATCGCGTTTCACACACGCACGTATACGCGCGCATACACGCACACACACTCTATCATTTCTCCTCGTCCGAGGCCACGATCGAGAGAGATTAGGAAACGCTTATACCGCGCACGCGGATACCATAATTGGGAACGTTTCGTTTGTACCAGCTTTATTTTGCGGTTTCTCCCCTTCGATTCGAAGGAGGGGGAGGAGAGCGATGAAATCTGTGTTGAATTACGTGTTATCATGCCGCTATTTCCAACGAGAATTCGTTCCAATTCGATCCATATTCTTGGAAATCATTCAACTCTCTTCTCCTTCGTTACGTTATTTACAAAATTCTAATGGATTTTTTCTTTTTTTCTTTTCCTTGATCGATTCACGATTCAAGAATTCCTTGGGAAGAAGGGTATTATTTTCAAAGGCGATCAGTATTACGTATTACGTAGATTTCTAGAATTGTAAACCTTTTCGTAAATAAATAAAAGTGGTATAAAAAAAAAAAAA